GTATGCCATATCCGGCCCAATCATTTTGCCAGATGTTGCCAGATATGGGCCATGTCTGTGCCAAATATGGTGTGCTGTCTGGGTAGTTTCATCAAAATCGGATAAAAATTTTGACTTCTAGAGTGTCCACAACATTGGTATTACATACTTTTACACTATTTGTGTACAAGGAGCGGACATTTTGTCCTGCAGTTTCGGTCAGATTTTTACGAAATTCGAACTCAACCTTCATTGATGTCAATGTGTAACGGTGATATATTTCAACAGTTTTTTAAAATTGAATAAAAATTGTGAATTCTAGCGGGTCCACAAGCTAAAAACGTGATTTTTCATACAATCAGGGGGCATAATCCATGAAGTTATGGTCCGATACATGCCAATATCGAAAGAAACCGGGATCTTTGGGAGATAGATTCTTCAAGTTTCGTTAAAATCGAATAAAAATTGTGATCTATAGAGTGTCCACAAACAAATTGTGGACGGACGGACAGGGGCTACGGCATAATATGTCCACATGAAAATGTGGGCGTATAAAAATGTACAGGCCAATCGTATATTATATATTCTAGATGAAATATCTGACTCGCGTAAAGATTTCATTGAAATGCACGTGCGGGATAGTGTGTATTTTAAGTTGTTCAGGCATTGGTGATATGTATAGGATATTAACCTACCCGCGCGTTCTTTACCATTTCAATCCGAGGGAGAGTAGGTTTATATCCGACATATACAACGCCATTTCACCCTGAAATTTAATGGGCTCTTCCATTAAAAGGCAACAACGATTGGATAATTGCTAGATAGTTTCCGCCAAATAGCGAAAATTACCGAAGTAATCACGTGCAATTACGTGCATGTTTTTGTTTATACGTCGCCATTTGGACTATTGAATTGAAAGCAAAAACAAAATGGATAGTAACACGAAGTTAGACGAATAATGAATCCTTTTCAGCCAACATATTGACGATGGAATAGATGTGAATGCAAATATCGACGAGGAAATATCCTAAGCCTGCAGAAAATTTGGACCAAAAGGCATTCTTTTCCAAGAATTCTGACAGTGAACTATGATTGAAGGTTTTCGGTATGTTCAGAGAAGGATTTGATCGACTGTTTTAAGTGGACTGTACCTAAAAATACTTTACAAGGAACTCTTGGGCGATAAATACTTTCAAGTCTTGTAGTGTGTGGAGAAATGCACGGACTTTTTCTAATTTGTTCGTTATCTTTTATCTACTGACAGCCAATTCTTTTTTTGAATTGTCAGATATCCTCTCATCGTCTCATATAACAACTTTTCATCTTCAAATGAATTATCAGTGAAACGAAATTCGATACGTTTGTCTGTTATCGCGCGTTTCTTCAGTCAGTTATACAGAAGGACAACTCGTGTTTGTCATGTTTGACGTCACTTCCCGTGCTTGTTACACATCTCCCGTAGCAATGATCTCTGTGTTAAAATTATATTTGGGATGCATTTAACGAGCTCTATCACATATTTTATAATGACTGACACCAATATTGTCCTTTAATGTCACGCACGAATATAAATAATTTGCTTAGCGAGTCTGTGGTGCACAGATGTCACAATAATCATTAATTGCACTAATTACAGAATAAATAGAACCATTAAATTTCTTGTAAATGACAAATATCTGGATATTGATTTTGGTGAAGTTAGTTTAAAATTTATATGTTTGTTGACCAGGTTGGTTTCATAGCAAACAGAATACATGCCTCCATTCTAGCTGATTATTTTATTACTGACTTTGAAAATAGTATAAACATGTCAGTAATAAAATAATTATCTAGAATGGATGAATTTATTTTATTTTACGTATATTATCTTCTTCTAATCAGGGCCGTTTTAAGCGGGGGTGCAGGGGGTACATTGCACCCCCAGAAAAATAAGGCGCCCCGGTCTGCTGCTGCCGATTAAATCCAAAAATGGATAATCGAGACTATGTTTTTTTTTATCGTACCGACTTTAGTAATGATGATCGAGCTTAGGCCCAAAATTCCATTGCTTAATTCTCGGTTCAGGGGGGGGGGGGGGGTCAATTTGACTGACATTTTCAGCAAATTCCTTTTACATTATATATTTTTTAACTATTATAGTGAGAACTGTCAGCTCTGTATTTAATCGGCCATAATGTATCTTTAAGTGAATCACTACTCCCCTATCAACTTTAGGGATAGGTACAGCTACGTTGTCTCCCATTTGACAATGGCTAGTTTCACTCGACTCCTCTTGACACCATTGCTTTCACATGAGATGTTTTGTAAGTGGACATTGAGTAAATTCGAGGCACTATTAATTTCCCCAGGGCCGGTTGCTCAAAGCTCTGTTAACTTTTAACGATCTGTTAACATTGAGTTAATGGGTCGTTATCTTCAACGGAGAACAAATCTGTTGCGCGAAGCCCCCCGTTAACTTTAACGTGTCGTTAACTTACCATTATATTTAACGGAGGTGTTGGATTCCGTTAGCTGTTCAACGATGGCATTAGTCGTCTGTAGCAAAACGTCATATATAACCAGTGTAAGTTTCTATAGAATATTCTAGAGGGTTGGAGATGAAATTCTATAGAATTCTACAGAATTTGGGGGGCCTGTAGGAAATAATGACAACAAATATTCTGTAGTGCAAATCCCATAATTTTTCCTACAGATTTTATGCTATAGTGTTTTCTTCAGTAAATTCTACAATTATCATTTGTCTTTGATCAACTTTTGTCAATTAAGACTGCACAGTTGTCTTACTGTCTCAGTTTCTTGTTAATACTAACTTCTATGAAGTTGTTATACATGTACACGGAATTTAAAATTTAAAAATTCAGCCAATGAACAAACAATCTTCTCTTGGATTAACTTTAATCAATCCGTTAGCTAACGGATAATGAAATTGACTTTCCAGCAACAGAAATTTAACGGATCGTTAACAAACGACACGTTAGCGTTTAACAAATCATTAAAATAACTTAGTTTTGAGCAATCGGCTGATCAACTGGGCTAGCTGGGGGTGCAAATTCCAGCCTAGTAGTCTGTGTCGGTTCCAGGCTTGTGGTTTGTGCCGTTTCCTGACTTTGTGCATATCTTTATTGTCGTTCGTCCATTCGTTTCTGGAGTATAACGTCCACTTCCACCAGGGGTGATATCGTAGAGAATCTTTATTGTCATGTGCTAGGGGCTTAAGAAGAGGTCTCTTGTGTGAGACCACTTGGGGAAAGTTATTTAAAGGGCCCCACAGATTAGAAACTCCATTAAAACAAGTATGACTATTCAGGATGAAATGAGAGAGAGAGAGAGAGAGGGAGAGAGAGAGAGAGAGTTTAGCGGCCACTCGACACAAACTAGGTCATTTTCGGGACTAACATATGGTTTAATTTTATTTCAATAATTCGCTTGCGCGTAGGGGTCTTTAGCAGTGGGAGAAAGCCGGAGGACCCGGGGAAAACCCACGAGGATGGACAGGCGACCCTACTCCTTTTCCTACAATCAGGGACCATGGTCCAAGAAGTTACGGTCTGAAATGCGCGAATATCAAAATGGACTGACATCTTTTAGGGTATAAAAAGTTTCATCAAAATAGGACACCAGCGGCTGCCAGGCAGGATACGCCCACATTTTCGAGAGATGGATAGAGAACAAGCTAACAAGAAAGTGATTTTTCCTACTATCAAGGGCCATAATTCAGGAAATTACGATTCAATATGCGCGAATATCGAAAGGAACTGAGATCTTTGTGTTATAAACTTAAATTTCAAGTTTCAACAAAATCGGATAAAAATTGTGACCTCTATAGGGTCCACAAACTTGATATACCATATTTTTACGCTATTTGAGAACGAACGGCGGCCATTTTGTCTGTCAATTTTGGGTTGATTTTCACGAAATTCGAATACAGTCGCCCTTAGGGTGTAACAGTGTTATAATAATACAGTTTTTTTTAAATCGGATAAAAATTATGACCTCTATAGGGTCCACAGGGTAAAAACGCGATTTTTCGTACAATCAGGGGCTATAATTCAGGAAGTTACATTCCGATGTGCGCGAATATCGAAAGGAACCGAGATCTTTGGGTTATAATCATACATTTCAAGTTGAAACTAAATCGGATAAAAATTATGACCTCTATAGGGTCCACAACCTTGATATACCATATTTTTTTACGCTATTTGAGAACGAACGGCGGCCATTTTGTCTGTCAATTTTGGGTCGATTTCACGAAATTCGAACTCAGTCGTCCTTAAGGTGTAATGGTGATATAATAATACGAAAATATACGTCCACATGAAAATATGGGCGTATAAAAACATCGATTATGGACTGCATTTTATCACAGTTAGTTATAACCTTTGAAATGAACAGATGTGTCCATCAGACAATGACAACATTGTTATTTTATGTGTTATGATTTGTTATGTTAATTAATGTCTAATTAATAGTTTATATAACATTTCAGGCCTAAAGAAAGACCTGCAATATGCAGATGTATGTCTTATATAATGTATGTTTATGATTTGTTAATAAATGTCTAATTAATAATTTATATAACATTTCAGGCCTAAAGAAAGACCTGCAAAATGCAGATGTATGTCTTATATAATGTATGTTTATGATTTGATAATACATGTCTAATTAATAATTTATATAACATTTCAGGCCTAAAGAAAGACCTGCAAAATGCAGATGTATGTCTTATATAATGTATGTTTATGATTTGATAATACATGTCTAATTAATAATTTATATAACATTTCAGGCCTAAAGAAAGACCTGCAATATGCAGATGTATGTCTTATATAATGTATGTTTATGATTTGATAATAAATGTCTAATTAATAATTTATATAACATTTCAGGCCTAAAGAAAGACCTGTAATAGGCTGATTTAGCTCTTGCATAATGTATGTTTAATAACAGAATATAAGTAGTGTTCCCTTAGCCTATTCTTCTTGAATTAAATATAGTTTAAATTTTGTTTTACCTACTTGTAGATGAAGATGCTGAGGAAGATGAAGTTGATGTTGTTATTGTTGGCTGTAGTCTTTATGGTCCTTATTCAGATATCATATCATATGACCACTACGTCACAGAAGTCGACCAATCATATTGATGATTCTTCAAATCTGACATATAAGCAGATTAACCAACTAGAATCACGGATATATATAAATACCAGGACAGGAGGAGACCAATCAAAACAGCGTTATTTGATTTATAACTGCGATGGGAAGTCGGGTCCGTGTGGGGGACTTTTCGACCAGTTGAAGGGAGTTATGACTGGGTATTTAATATCTCAACTAACCGATCGCGTGTTTCTTATCGAAATGACGTCGACGTCATGTAAACTTTCGTCATACCTTTCACCTAATAAAGTAGCATGGAATAATACAATACCAAAAAATGTTCTGACAAAACTAACAAAGAGCAGAAAGTATTTCGTTGATTCGGTTACTTTTTACAAAGGAGTTGCAACTTATGATTTCCAGGAACTATTTAAAGAAGATGTCATTTATTTCCGTGCTAATCTTGATTATATAGATAATTTGAAATTAAACGTTAACTATAAAAGCAAATTAAAGTGGATGGAAAATCGGACTAGAGATAAGATTTACCAAAATATATTTCATGATTTGTTCAAAATATCGGATAAAATACAACTGATATTAGACGATTTTCTGGAAAGAGCCAAACCACGTGCGGCGAAGAATAGCTCTCTTGTGTGTGCTCATATCCGGACGGGTCGAAATCCAACGATTCCTCGCGATTCCAAGGTGATTTCAACTACAGAAGACGTAAAGAACGGTTTGCGTTTCTTACATCAAAAGGTTTGTGAAATCAGTAAAAATAGATCCCAATCATGTCTTAATGAAACATCTACCGGAAGTAACTTTTATAAACACGTTAAAGTATTTGTAAGTTCTGATTCTTATGACGTTTTGGAAACTGTCCGACAAGAATTCAAAATGGAGATTGTGGAAAACAAAGGAGTAATTGTCCATGTTGAGCTAGGGAGACAACACAAAAACATATGTGAAGGTTTTGAAAAACTTGTATCCGATTTTCTAATTTTAACTAAATGTGATGTTTTGCTGTTGAGCAAAAGCGGTTTAAGCAGAATGGCGTCGTATATTCGTGGAGGCAGTAATGGGTTATATTGTAATATAAAAAACAAAGGTGTTCAAAAGTGTGAGGTTGAAAAACTTAAATCCTTATATAAGGTCAAAGGGTAAACATGGGCCGGAAGAGTACGAGGCAATTGGGTTCCACGTGAGTCAAGGTCTCAATGCTTGGATGGATATCATTCTGGCTAACGCTAACATCGCTGTAATATTATTCCATCCTGGATACCAACACTGTAATATTATTCCATCCTGGATACCAACACCGTAACATTATTCCATCCTGAATACCAACACTGTAATATTATTCCATTCTGGACACTGTAATATCATTCCATCCTGGATACCAACACTGTAATACTATTCCATCCTAGATACCAACACTGTAATATTATTCCATTCTGGACACCAACACTGTAATATTATTCCATCCCGGATACCAGCGCTGTAATATTATTCCATCCTAGATACCAGCACTGTAATATTATTCCATTCTAGATACCAACACTGTAATATTATTCCATTATGGATACCAACACTGTAATAATACCAAGGTGAGAAACCAGCTGGATTTAAATAATTGCCATCAAAGTTCACTACTCTAGATTCCATCAACCAGTGGCAATACTCACTAGTGTTCGCTAGGTAGACAATCGAGTCTACGATGACGTTTTAAAATAAGTAAACTTTGATCCCAATTCTTTTAATCCAATCTGTTTCTCACCTTGGTATTATCAGGGGGTGCTCGATTGTCAGTCCGGAACGTCCCGAATTGACAGATTTGCAATCAAGTGATACGGAATTCAGCCCTGTCACAGTTCTGCCAATCCTAACAGCTGAGGTTGTGTGAGTCGAATCGTGACGTATGATTGGTTGAGATATATTTTTATGCAGTCGGCACATCCGTTGTACTTCGAAATTCGATTGACACTATTTTTGGAATTGAGCGATTTAACTCTGGAACGTTCAATCGAGTATCCCCACTATCTACTGAACGAGAATCAGTTTCAGACGAGTTATTTGCCCCTGAGTTAGAAATCTCGTTCAGACTTGACACTCTCGCTTACGAACATGTACATAACAGTCGTTAGACATATACTTAGACATGGCTTGATGTTATTTGTGAAATATTTTCCACGTTACAGGCGCCTATGATGAGAAAGAGAGAGAGAGAGAGAGAGAGAGAGATGGGTTTAACGTCCACTCGACACAAACTAGGTCATTTCGGGACTAACATGGTTTAATTTTATTTCAATAATTCGCTTGCGCGTAGGGGTCTTTAGCAGTGGGAGGAAACCGGAGGACCTGGATAAAACCCACGAGGTTGGGCAGGCGACCCTACTCCTTGTCACGTACAACCGGTGATTCGAAACCACGCCAGTTGACTCAATGACAGGCTTTAGGATACAGCGCGCACGTGCTAACCATTCGGCCATCCAATCCCTCAGTTTTAAAAGAGGTATCATACAAGTTTATCATACGGAACGAAATCTATATTGCGAGGGTTGTCAGTAGCTAGAGCCCTAGGAAGAAATCGGGACAAGTTTTAAACTAAGGATCAAATATTTGCAAATTATTGGATTTGGGATTGGGCTGGGCTGGGCTGGGTGGGGCTTAGGTGGGGGAGGGAGGGAGGTGAAGACTCTCAATACGACAGGCCAATTATTTATATTCGGTGCATACAAATAGTAAGATCAATATATTATCAGGGCCTTACCAAGAAACCTACTCCCCAATCGGCGGAACCACTTAACCCTGGGGATATAAAAACACGGTAATAACTAATCATTTACAAAGGTAAAATGGACATATTTGGTACCATCCCCGGATTAAGGGGGAGGGGAAGGGCTAGACTATGATGCAGTCAAGGACACACAAATAAATGTCATTTATTATGTTGTATAAATTGGTGCCCAGTAATCTAGCAATTTATCTTCCATGCGGACCTACAAATAGCGTTTGTGTGACCAGAGGATATGCGAGAGAGAGAGAGAGAGAGGGGGAGAGAGAGATGAGGTTTAACGTCCACTCGACACAAACCAGGTCATTACGGGACTAACATATGGTTTAATTTTTATTTCAATAATTCGCTTGCGCGTAGGGGTCTTTTAGCTGTGGGAGGAAACCGGAGGACCCGGAGAAAACCCAGGAGGTTGGACAGGCGACCCTACTCCTTGTCACGTACAACTGGGGATTCGAAACCACGCCAGTAGACTCAATGACAGACTTTATGATACAGCACGCACGTGACTAACACATGTGTTTCGGGACTAACACATGGTTCAATTTTATTTCAATAATTCACTTGCGCGTAGGGGTCTTTAGCAGTGGGAGGTAACCGGAGGACCCGGAGAAAACCCACGAGGTTGGACAGGCGATCCTACTCCTTGTCACGTACAACCGGGGAATCGAAACCACGCCAGTTGACTCAATGACAGACTGTATGATATAGCGCGCATGCGCTAACCATTCAGCCCCCCCACACCAGAATATGCACATTGTTCATGCAAGGGCCCCGTGAGTTTTTCAGCCAGGGGCCCCATTCAAGCTTAATTCGTCCCTGTTTGGTACTAGTACTCATTACAGATACACCCCAATTAAATATTTAAAGACGCATTATCACCCAATAATACATTCTACAGTAGATATCGCTTGTGTGATATATTTCATAATCTACTGCGATATCTCCTTAGGAGATATCGCTTTACATGAATTTGATTGGTTAGTTGAAAAGGAACTACTTTTATTTATTTTCAAAGAACAGTTCATTTCTTATTAAAAGTAACTTTTTTTTATTAAACTTTTGTTATTCAGTTGACCTTGATGGAAACACTGGGTCAATATAAAGGACTTTGCAATGGTTGAATTGCTGTCAAAAAATGATGTATCACTACGCCTTAATGTTCAGTAAAAGTGAAATCTACAGCAAAGAACTATATTTATCTATTTGTGCATGTAAGAAGGGATTGGGTGATAAATAAAATCTCCTACTCGTCTTTTTTGATATCAAAAAATATCAACACTCGATGTAAAGTAAGAAAAACTCGGCAGAGCCTCGTTTTTTGTTACTTTATCAACTTGTGTTGATATTTTTTGATATCAAAAAAGACTGGTAGGAGATTCTCTATTTATGTACGATTTAGATAAATGGCTGTTCGTTCTTGCTATAATAGTTCAAAATATATTTGTTTGGTACTAGCACTAATTGTAGATACACCTCATTAATTATTTAAAGATATATACTAAACAGCAAAAAAAAAACCAACCCAAAAACGCCAGTACGATTTCAAAATCAGAGAGGCACTTTAATCAAATCATTCTAGAAAACGACTTACTAAATGGATCAAAGCAATTTTTTGTGAACAGTATGTTGACACATTAGTGATTAATTCATCACAATTCCAAGACATTGCAAGAAGGTTTAGAGTCTGTACACAGTCTATATATCAGCAGCGCAGCGTCTGTACTTACATGTAGAGTGGACCAGACGATTGATGAACGCCATTGGCACCCGGAACAATCCATCGGCTGTGTTTGGTCTCGGTACGACGTTATTAAGTCTCCTCTGAATTTCATCCCAAAGATGTTCAATCGGGTTTAAGTCCGGACTAAGGGTTGGCCAGTGCATAAAACGTTGTTTCGATGACGTGCGAAATGTGGTGTGACGTGGGGTCTGAGAGCTTGATCGATGTAGCGCACTGCTGTGATGCCGCCTCCTCTTCCTGGACCAAGATTTTGGAACACTACAGAACCCACCCTCTGGTTCAGACAGATTCCACCCAAACCATTATGCTTAGACCTCCCCATGAGTCTAGTTCCATGCCACATTGGTCAGAATAACGCTGGCCACGTCGACGCCATATTCTGGTCCTGCCATCTGCAGTTGATACGCAATGCCGACTCTCATCTGTGAATAGAACAGTTCTCCATTGCCTGTGTCGCCAGTTCTGACGAGGGGTGAGGATCGGTTCACGGTAAGGTCTACGGCGATTGGTGTTTTCTCTGGTGAGACGTCGGCGCATTGTACCGGTTCTGATGTGTCATCCGTGTGTTGCCACTGTCTGACCTGCTGTCTCTGACGCCTGTGTGAAGGGATTCTGCACGTGCTCCCGCACAACATGGCGATCTTGTCGCCTTGTGGTAACCCTTGGTCTACCAGTTCGGGGGCGATCATCCGTAATGTTGGTGGCCCAAAAGCGTTGCTGAAGCCTGTAGATGGTTCGAACATTTACCTGGAAGTGATTGGCAACGGCTTGGACAGTGTGGCCAGCGTCGAGGCTTCCAAGCGCCTGGTTCCTCTGAGCTGTCATGCTGCTGACGTTGTAGTGTGAATGATTCAACCAGGGGGTGCATTTATAGAGCTGGTCCCGGTGAACATCACGTGCAGCATGAGTTACATGAAAATTATGGAGAACACATTACCATCTCAGAAGTCAGGTTGCGTTTTTGAGAACCTTTTCTGGGTTCAATTCTGTGTTTGGGAAGGATCCTTATTGCTCAGACAAAGTTGAAGATGTGGTCACAAATATACAATAAAAACATTTGGCAAGTTTTATGTAATGCGTCTATTCAGAGTAACATACCAACCTGACGTTTGTTTTGCTGCTTAGTATAGAAGTCCTACTGTTCTGCTCCGACTGGGCTAATGAAGACGGGCATACGCCATACAGTCTGCTATGAGGGAAATTTTGCACGGGCAGCGGCACTATGGCCTACTCTTATATCGAATTCCATCTGCCAAGGCATTCTTTACGTGCATTCCAATATATACACGGGACCTCGGTTTTTCCGTCTCATCTGAAGGACTAGACAGCTGTCCTTGTTATAGGCCCTCCGTCCTGCACCACTGATAACGGGGGGGGGGGGTGGATGGCTACATGGTTAGCACGTGCGTGCTGTATCATAAAGTCTGTCATTGAGTCTACTGGCGTGGTTTCGAATCCCCAGTTGTACGTGACAAGGAGTAGGGTCGCCTGTCCAACCTCGTGGGTTTTCTCCGGGTCCTCCGGTTTCCTCCCACTGCTAAAGACCCCTACGCGCAAGTGAATTATTGAAATAAAATTGAACCATGTGTTAGTCCCGAAATGACCTAGTTTGTGTCGAGTGGACGTTAAACCCCATTTCTCTCTCTCTCTCTCACTGATATGGGGGGAACCACGTCGAAAAATCCCGATGAACTTTCTTGGCGCAGGGATCGAAATTGCATTAGAATTACTTTATTCTGAGCGACGTTATCATTGTGTGAAGTTTTGACATATATAGTTTATTATCGTAGCAACGTCACTTGTTAATCGAGACTCGATTAAATGGCGATCGTATTTCAAGCCGTTTACAACTGCGCCATTCAGTGCTCTAGAGAGTTGAGTGTAAGCTTGCCATGCGATTACATAATGTATCTATTACACACGTATTATTATATGATATAGGTCGCTACATTATAATATTCAATACAGAACAACTTCAACACAAAACGTACTCTAAATGCTATACACTGGCTGATAAGACAAAAAATTTAGGTGTAACCAAAATAATTTTGACAAAGAGCTAATAGGTTTGACTCACTCCCATTTCTTATTGAAATTGTATATTATGTATATACATTGTGTGTATATTCAATGAGTGAATAACATACGTTTGAATATTCTTCTTAGGGAAATGGTATCTATATATACATTACGCGAATATCCAAAGGGTAATTACGAACTAAAAGTCAGAAATAAAAGTCCATGTATGTATAAAATTTAAAGGTCAATATATAGAGGAATGATGTATTTATATTGTCTAAAAGTTTCTGCTCAAAATATTGAGTCGCTTGGACGTGGACGTCAAACCAGCTTATCCGGACACGTAACCCTTTTAAGATTTCGGATCAATTTTTTGTTTGGGTAACCTGATAATCTATTACCGTTCCTTTAGAGATCAAAACAGTGCGCGGTGCGTGTTCTGTACACGCGGTAAATTTCATCTACACATTATTTTTATAAAATAAAGTCTGGTTTTATCCAGACACCGTATAATACAGCTTGGGAACCCGGTCTCCATTTCAATATGAAGACCTGTGGGTATAAGTTGTTTGAGATCATAGCACGTATATTGAGTTAGTTGCTCGGTCCTAAGGTAGAGGTTTTGAGGGCTTTTCACACAAAATTAAGCAGTTTTATTCTCCAAAATATTGTCCCTTTAAAGTCACGCGCTTGTTTATTTATTTGGGAATTACCCATAAACTTTCGGTGAAGTCCCCACTTATTGTATTGACCTAAATAAACTGTCAACAATGCTGCATGTTTATTACTTGGTTAATAGTTCTTGTGGACATAGTGTTTAGTGGTAATAGTATGTGCTTTGGATAAAAAATATATCTTCTGTTTTTAACAATTTTTAATTTGCTTACAGAACTGAGTCACAAATTGAAGAATATTCTTTCAGGGAAGGCACCCGTGCAAATTGCTTAAGAACATTTAAGTTTAAAATTGTGTTAATGAAACTTAAAGTAACTATGGCGCGCGGACGCGGACGAATGCGCGAAGAACATGTACACAAAATGCAAAAGAATTATCGCTTTCTCCTTAAAAATGTTGATGCAAATTTATTATGTTCGGGTCTTTTTGAACTGTGTGTTCTGAATGATGACGACATGGAGGAGGTTAAAAATAAAGTGGAAGGGGAAAGCAATGTTCAAGGTATGGAGCTACTGCTCAAGAAATTATTCCATGCTGGACATGATGCCTATGAACATTTTATCAAGTGTCTAAAGGACGCCAATTATCACGAAGTCATATCCACACTAGAGGTAAGCGATTTCTTTTCTAGACGTTATTCAATCAAATTAAAACACAGGTCCTATTTCGTTCCGGGGGAAATGCGTACATTGAAAACGGGTCTCACAGTATTCCCTTGTTATATTCATTACTAGGTGGGATACTCGGCTTCGCCCGTGGCCCAAATTGAACCGAATCATGTCCTAAATCATTCACGGGGCCATGCTGTTTATTTTGATACAACATATGTGGAGGGGGGGGGGGGTCGCGGCGACGAAGCGTGATGGGCGAACATACACACAGACACCTTTCATTTTATTTATATACAGTAGATGTTTAAAAATACATTTTGACGTCATCCTTTGATGTTGGCGTGTCATTATTTCAAATAATGGTACGGGCAATGTGCCAAACGTAGATATAGCCTCGCGTGACGATTTCATTGCCGAGCCAGATATTTCGTAATATATTTGTCAAAAGCACTTACACTACTAACATAAATAGCGATATACATAATCAGGGGTCGTGTCGTTAAAGTTATTTCTTTACTTGTAAAGAATATCAATGTGTTCCGTGCAGGGTGGGAGGTATACAACCCTAATCGGCCTTTCACAACACATAACATGATATAATGTGCAACTTATGTTAATGCCCCACCTTTTGAGTCCTTCCGTCCCTGTCTTTCAGTGAACTTGGGTCTTCCCCCCCCCCAAATCTATCTCTCCGGTCGGCTGCCTTTAAATTTTGAGACCTTATAGTCCCCAACTTTCATTGCGTTTATGTTAATCCAACACTGGTCACGATGCTTATAGTAAATAAACCGACCATTTTCCTTCCAAGAGAGTGCTGCGTATATAACTTGATTGTTCTTTTTCAGGGAACTAACAGTCAAAGTGAAGACCCAAACCAGACACACGCTCAGACCGAGGAAAGCGTCTTATCAGTCAAAGAAAAAGTAGCGATGTATGAGAAATTCGCAGAACTTCGGGGTAAACAACGGAAATCACACAAGGATATGATTGTAATTAAAGAACAGTTGGCTGAAAACAAGGAAATATGTGATATACATGCTGAGAAAATACAATCGGTAGTGGATCGAGTGAAGGCGTTTGAAGTAAAATTGGAGGATTGTCAGAGAACATCGCAAAGCCAAATAGAAATAGTAAAGTCACTTAAAACACAGATAGAACCCATTGTAGTACTGATTGGCTCTTCAGACACAAAGGTTCGCCAATTGCAAACAACAGCGCATGTTCATACACTAGAACAGAACGTGAATGAAAGGCATAAAATTGACGCCAACGAGCAGAAAAAGATGAACGAAAGAGTGTCTGCTTTAGAAAGAAAAATGGAGATGCGTCGGAACCGATCTGAACAGACGGAAGAATTGTCAGTGCCCGATGGCAACTTTAAGGTGACTGGAAAGACAGACCAGGAAACACAGACAATCGACGATTTATCCAGCGAAACATTTGTTAAGAATACGGATAGCATTGTCCAAACACAAATGGAAGCAACTCGATCACGTGGGTGCATGGGTGTAGACTCCGCTGATGGCGGGGCTGGGACCGATCTTAAATTGAATATGTAAGATTCTTGCACAGCTGCTTTTGCATAAAAGATAATTCACTACGTTTCCCACGATCCCGCAGTCGTGTATGAGGCAGGATCTATTTACTCAGCTTTCCGGAATACCTGATGATACATCTTGGTACGAACGAACACGAATAATGTAAATAAAGATATTAATGATTAATTTTGCCCAATGTCCTTAAACATAATACCATATTTTTTTATTTCAGTTTTAAGACAGTAATTAACGGAAAGGTTGCTAATGGTTCGGTGAATGTTGGTGGTGACATGAAGCTGGTCGGGTTAGAGAAGTACATAACAAATAATAGAAAAGAAGGTCGAACGGTCATGCTGATTTCTATCAAAAGCTTTGATGGTCACGAGATAGATTCGTACCTTCAAAAACACAAAACTATGTCTTTAAAATCTTTAGATGCTGAAAATGAGGATAACAAAATTTAGGAATGCGTTTGGTAAAACTAAAAACATTTATATTTTCGAGGTTAGGGCATATGAACACAATAACAAAAATGAAATGAAATGAAATGGGGTTTAACGTCCTACTGTTTTGCTCCTAAACTGGGCTAATGGAGACGGGCATACGCCATACAGTCTGCTATGAGGAAATTTTGCCCGGGCAGCGGCGCTACGCCCTACCCTTATATAGAATTCCAACTGCCGGGGGATCTTTAACGTGCACGTCAATTTGTACACGGAACCTCGGTTTTTCGTCCCATCCGAACGACTAGAAAGCTGTCTTTGCGAGGCCCTCCGTCCTGCATCACTGACAAGGGGGAAACCACGCCGGAAAATCTGGATGAACTTTCTCGGCCAATGCAGGGATCAAACAACACAATTACAAATATTGCCACAACAGAACTAAAATGAAATTTAAGGTCGCTATTACGTCTTGTGCACCACTAGATAAAGGTCAGATCCATTTCAGATGGCCACCTGCAGATGTCTTGAAGGTCACGAGATGTAAACACAGAATATATAAGTAGCTAATACCACTTTTGTTAAAAATTCTTCTTCAAACGATGCCATTTGGTTCAGTAATGTCGTCACACTTACCCGAAACTGACACCAGATGGACACATGATAAAGTAAATGTTCAAATTAATGTAGATCTAAAGTAAATTCCTATGAGAATAAATAATAACAAATGTAATGTAGATCTAAAGTAAATTCCTTTAAAAATAATAACAAATGTAATGTAGATCTAAAGTAAATTCCTATAAAAATAATAACAAATGTAATGTGGATCTAAAGTAAATTCCTAATAAAATAATAACAAATGTAATGTAGATCTAAAGTAAATTCCTTTAAAAAATAACAAATGTAATGTAGATCTAAAGTAAATTCCTATAAAAATAATAACAAATGTAATGTAGATCTAAAGTAAATTCCTATGAAAATAATAACAAATGTAATGTAGATCTAAAGTAAATTCCCCTTTAAAAATAATAACAAATGTAATGTAGATCTAAAGTAAATTCCTATAAAAATAATAACAAATGTAATGTAGATCTAAAGTAAATTCCTAATAAAATAATACAAAAATGTAATGTAGATCTAAAGTAAATTCCTAATAAAATAATAACAAATGTAATGTGGATCTAAAGTAAATTCCTGTGAGAATAACAAATGTAATGTAGATCTAAAATAAAATAGTTCTGTGTAGATTTAGTGTAATTTAATGTAATGTAGATCTCAAAAATTCCTCAGAGACTAGATAAAGTTAAAATGACGTCCGAAGCCTGTGTCATGTAACAGTTCTCTAAAGGTTTATAATGTAATGTAGATATAAATCTAGCATGAAGAGGATAGACGGTGATAGGATTGCAAAAACGAATCCACAACAAATGGTGCATATATATATGTTGAATATAATAATCTATATATGATTTGTGTCAAATTGAAAGAAACAATTTTATATTTTATTTCATTGCGTAGTACATATTTATTTTTTAGTCGATGTTAATTTGAATTAAATGTCTTTCCACTTGAATAAAGTTTTTATGTTGCGCTTTGTGTGTAATATAATAGTATGACAGTTGTGAGACGGTTCGTTGAATAAATCTAAAATTGATGTTCGAGATTGCGTATTTCGCCGAACATAATTGATTAGAAATTACAGTAAAAATAGAAACGATTGAATGTAAAGCAGTTTATATACATTCATAAAATATCATACAATGCAGTGCGGCCCATTTGAGTCAATTTCTAGGTTACAAATTTTAGCGATTTAACTCATTTAACATCGCCACACACTTCAGATTCTGTGAGGAAATGTAACATCCGTGTCATAAAAAAGTACATATTCATTGAAGTCTTATTACTACAGGCCCGGAGCTGTAGAGCGCAGTGGACGTTTACGACTTGCCCCCGGATCCATTCACTTGATCTGATATGTACATTTGCTGGGCGTGGTGTCTGTATAATATTATTATATTATTGCATCTTGTTCGTACGAAAAACCACGGTTTTAGCTTGTGGACACTCTAAAGATCACAATCTTCATCCAACTTTGATGGTAACTTCCTGAATTATGGCCCTGATTGTACGAAAAATCGCGTTTTTAGCTTGTGAACCCTTTGGGGGTCACAATTTTTATCCGATTAAACAAACCGTTTCAATATATCACCCTTACACCATAATGTTGGTTGAGTTCGAATTTCGTAAATATCGGACCGAACTGCCGGACAAAATGACCGCTCCTCGTAAGCAAATATTGTAAAAGTATGGTATATCAAGGTTGTGGAACCTCTAGAGGTCACAATTGTCATCCGATTTTGATGAAACTTGACATGTATATTAATACCCCAAAGATCTCGGTTCCGTTCGATATTCGCGCATATCGGACCATAACTTCCTGGATTATGGCCCCTGATAGTACGACAAATCACGTTTTTAGCTTGTGGTCACTCTAGAGGTCACAATTTTTTTATCCCGATTTAAAAAAAAAACGTTCGAATATTTCACGAAAAATTACGTGTTTATCCGATTTAAATAAAAACGTTCGAATATGTCACCGCATAAGACTATAATGACGGTTGAGTAAGAATTTCGTAAAAATTCTACCGAAACTGTCGGACAAAATTGCCGCTCCTTGTACGCAAAAAGTATGTAATACCAAGTTTGTAGATCTTCTAGAAGTCACAATGTTTATCCGATTTTGATGAAACTTATAATGTATGTTTATAACCCAAAGATCTTGGTTCCTTTCGATATATGCGCAAATCGGACCGTAACTTCCTGGATTCCCCTGAAACTGCCAGACAAAATGGCGGCTACTTGTAAATAAACGCATTATTATAAATATCGGAACTGTAGACCAGCGATGAACGCATTATTATAAATATCGGAACTCATAATCGTGAACTATAAATATAAACTTATTTAGATTTTAGGCAATACGGAGCTACAAGTCTTTCATCCGGGATCCAACAGCCTTTAAGAGTTCCTCCAGTTCGTAGAATTTTCATTATAAGGCCAGCTTCTACAGCTGCGTAAAAGTAAGGGGCAATAATGTGATGCTCGATGCGATCAAAACAGTTCGGAGGTAATTTGAGATAAGACCAAAGTTTTTTGGATCGCGGTCCAAGAAACATGTGTAAATATTGTTTACTTCGTTGGGTTTCATGGGTGACTCGGTGGTACTATAAATAGTTAAAATAGGGAGGACCGGTTAGCTTGCAGTGTGAAGGTGGTAGTTTGAAATTTAGTATCCCCACATTTAGGACAACTGTATGCGATTGGCCCAGGGCTCAGCCTTTTATCTTGAAAATATCTTGGATTGTATCTGTTTACCTCGGACTGTAGTCTTGTGCCCGGGGTATATCTTTTTTCTGTCTGTAGTTTTATCCTTCCCTGCTATTTACTCAACAGGCAAGTTTATGGTTTGTTCAAATATCTTAAGGTGAAACGCCCGTGCCTCATGATCTGCGGTTAGAAGCCTGTCGTGTTAGTTTTCGAATGGATTTCGCAAGTTCGGACAATGACTCATTTTTAATCTGCAGCCTGGCCAAAAACATCTCAGAACTCTCCACTGAACCAAATGGAATCTGCATTTTTTTTTACTAAAGCGGTGAAATCACGAATCTCGATGGGAGATAACTCCTGATACAACAATTGAGAACAACGAGTATGCATATAAACGTTATCTCCCCTATGACAAGTGTTCAAGCACTTTTCTGTGTTTTTTTATTAATGTAATACCTTTATAACGAATCGCTACAAAATATGATGTAGTACAAACTATGATGGGTCTTATAATTATTATTATGCGTTAATTTGCAGCCCTTCCACCTAGTTACCTCCCTTGGACTTTGTTCATGATAATATAAAAGACAGGATAATCTAGCCAATGACCTAGTTATTCTCAAACGTTGACAGCCCACCCAGAGTCCAGGGGAAGAACGATCTATGTAACTGCCGTAGATTTATATATGTATTAGATAAGAATGGTGAGCCGAATGTCCGTATTTGAGAGACTTGGTATGCAAGTCTATGTGTTTGCTCAAAGTTGGAGTATTCATTGTTTAATTTAGAATTAATCTAATTAATATTACTTTGTTATATATATATACCTTTAGGTTAATTTCTAATAGGTTATCATATTTCATTAAGTATGAATTAGGTCATTTATTACTAATTTAAGCTGATTTGGTAAGCTCTAGCATATCAAGGATTACTCCAGCGCACAACGTTTTTCCCGGGCAAAAATGGAGGAGCCGTAGGATTTTTGTGCGTGATAAAGTTAGAGTTTTCACGGTGACATTATTAAATATGACTGTTTTAACTAGTTTGCATGTGGTAAACTTTCTGGGCCTGGTGATGCTGTATACAGAGCTATGGTTGCCACTTAGCATTTAGTGTTTGTTTATGCCGGCCGACTAACGGTTCAAGATATTTCTTCGGTCCGGTGACGTCAATATGTGAACTGTTGGACTCATAATTGGATTATGATGATGTGACGATATCAGCGGTAAACGTATCTTATTTTAGACCCTGAGTATTGGTCGCAATTCCTTTGTTCTAACAGTCACATACGTTTATTATTTATGACGTCTACATAATTTCTGATGTGATGGTTGATTCACAGATGTGGTAGAAATCTAAGTATCTAAGTAATACCTATCCGGTAGTGATTAGTATTTGAGCATTTAAAATGAAGGTTACATAAGCTTCAAGTATTTGAGTACTTAAAAAGAACAGATATGATGTATCCAGTTTGAACAGTTACTTTTAATAAATTTGTCAGCAGTAATAAAACTCGACTTATCAACTTATTTATCCTGTGACCCAGATATGTAAATTCTAACCGCCCACACCTAGACCTCCCTCCTCCATTCCGATTTTGTGCCACAAAAGAGGTGTCGGCAGTTATAATCTAAGTCATATTTTTGTCTTCTCGCATATAAGGCAAAACAGACTTTTGGACAAGAATGCTTGAACGAGTGAGTTTAATTACAACGTCAAAATGGTGTTTAATACGATTCATAATTACCAGTAGAACAACTGACTTCCACTTTTCAGCCAAATTAAGGTCAAATAAATACGATGGCCTTGTATGTCCGGGAGGTCATTTCAGAAGGGCCTTGATTCGATGTGACTCCGATCGTTTTTACCTGAAATTGATTGTTCAACAGAAAGCTTATACAATTTGCCACCAGATGACGCCGTTAACTGGTGTTCGTTGATAAAGTGACTTAGATCGTTCTTCCACGAGGCTCTTCATTTGTTTGAATGATATAGACTACAGCTGAGAATGTAAACAACCATATTATAAACTTGACGAGGGGTTGGGTGGCCGAATGGTTAGCGTGTGCATGTTGTTTGACGAGGGGCTCGGTGGCCGAATGGTTAGCGTGTGCATGTTGTATCATAAGGTCTGTCATGTAGTCAACTGGCGTTGTTTCGATTCCCCGATTGTATGTGACAAGGAGTAGGGTCGCCTATCCAACCTCGTGGGTTTTCTCCGAGTCCTCCCCCTGCTAAAGACCCCTATGCGGAAGCAAATTATTGAAATAAAATTCCACCATGTGTTAGTCCCGAAATGACCTAGTTTGTATCGAGTGGGCGTTAAACTCTCTCTCTCTCTCTCTCTCTCTCTCTCTCTCTCACTCTCTCAATTTGATAAACAACAACTTTCAAGACTTTGTGTTTTTATTAAAATAGTTACAATTATACCACCCAAGATCGAGTCGAGCAGTTTACACCTTTTGTTCACTTACAAAGACAAATTAAAACAAATTTATAATCAATAGCCTACACAAGGAAGATAATCGAGTACATAAAGAACGAAAGAAATAGTGTTTAATGCCCCTACTGTTTAATGCCCTACTTTACTGCCGGCGTGGTTTCCGCTTGTCAGTAATGCAGGAAGGAGGGCCTGACAAGGACAGCTGCCTAGTCATTCGGATGAGACGAAAAACCGAGGTCCCGTGTATACATTGGAATGCACGTAAAAGATCCCTTGGCAGTTGGAATTCGATAAAAGAGTAGGCGATAGTGCCGCTGCCCGGGCTAAATTTCCCTCATTGACACTGTATGGCGTATGCCCGTCCTCATTAGCCCAGGTTAGGAGCAGAACAGTAGGACGTTAAACCCCATTTCATTTCCTACTTTACTGCACAGCAGTGCCGGATTAACCTTGTGAGGGGCCCGGGACATACCAACTGTGCGGGGGGCCCCATTGTTTGTTCAAATTGTTCCTACTGACCGCGGATTGTACTAGTATGTACTCCGCATCCGTATGTACTGAGCATAGGTCAAATCAAGACATAAAATCCCAAACAAAAGACAATAAGGAGAAAAAAGACGTAAAATTTAGGCAGGGAACATGTTCAGATTATACATTTGTCTGAACTACTTGCCCCCCCCCCCCCTAGATCCGGTACTGCTGCACAGTGTGCAATGAGGGAAATTTTGTCCGATCCAAAGGCACTATGGCCTTCTCTTATTTTGATTCCAACTGTAACAGTTATTTTACGTGCACGCCAATGTGTACACGGGGCTTATATCACAGTAATACATCGATACATATAAATAAAAACAAATATCACAGTTCAGTAAATACTTCCACAGAGCAGCGATGTCCGACAGCAGCTAATCCGAAAGGAGAACATAAATTTTGACCAAATTTGCTACTTCGGCAAATGAGGCTGAACGCAAACTCGCAGAATGCTTAATATCGATAGGTATCATTCTCCCATGGCCACAATACTTCATACCAAATTTGAAAAAAAATTCGTTAAAAACTACAGCCTATATCGGGTAACAGTGGTTTCGGTAAAGGGGCATAATTCTAGAACAGAAGGAATACTGATTATCGATAGGGTTCGTCCACTCATTGCCACAGAAGGTCGCGGAACGGTTAATATCAATAGTGGGTGTTTCTTCATTACCACCAGATTTGGAAACGAATCCGTTAACAACTGCAGCCTCTATCATGATCACAAGATTTTCGGCAAAGGGCGATGATCGCTGGATGGAAAGGTATGGAACGTTTGATATCAGTAGAGTCGCCCTCTTATGAACCCAGTGCTTCAAATAAAATTTAAAACCAGCGGCTACCAGGCAAGATACGCCCACATTTGCAAGAGATGGATAGAGAACAAGCTAAAAACCAAAGCGATTTTACGCACAACCAGGGGCCATAATCCAGAAAGCTATGGTCTGAAATGTGCAAATATCAAACGGGACGGGGATCTTTGAGATATAAAGATATATTTTAAGTTTCATCAAAATCGGATAGAAATTGTGATCTCTAGAGGGTCAACAACCTACTTTTACACAATTTGCGTACAAAGAGCGGCCATTTTGTCGTGCAGTTTCATTTCGATTTTCCGGAAATACGAATTCAACCTTCATAATGGTGGAATGCTGATATATTTAAACGGTTTTTAAAATCGGATAAAAAAAATTGTGATCTCTAGAGAATCCACAAGCTAAAATTACGATTTTTCGACCAATCAGGGACCATAATCCATGAAGTTACGATCCGATATGCGCGAATGTCGAACGGATCCAAGATATTTGGGTTATAAACATGCAGTGCAAGTTTCATCAAACTCGGGTGACAATTGTGACCTCTAGAGGGTACACAACCTTGATATACTATAATTTTACACTATTGGCCCGATTTTCACGAAATTCGATCTATTCGAGCGTTTTTTTTTCGGATAAAAATTGTGACCTCTAGAGGGAACATAAGCTAAAAACGCGATTTTCTTACAACCAGGGTCATAATTCAGGAAGTAACGATACGATATGCGCAAATATCGAAAGGAACCAAGATCTTCGGGTTATAAACGTGCATTTGAAGTTTCATTACAATCAGGTGAAAATTGTGATCCCTAGAGTGTCCACAAGCTAAAAACGTGATTTATCGTACAATCAGGGGCCATAATCCATGTAGTTTCGATTCGATACATGCCAATATCGAACGCAGCCGAGATCTTTTGGGGATAAACCTATATTTCAAGTTTCGTAAAAATCGGATAAGAAATGTGACTTATAGAGTGTCCACAAACAATTATGAACGGACAGACAGACGGACGTCCGGAAGAACAGGATCGACGACAATATACGTCCACATGAAAATGTAATCATATAAAAAGTCCAATCACAGGTTTTTCGGCAAAGGGGGGTAACTCCAGAACGGAAAGTGGAACGCAAGTTTTCGGAAAAGAGGACATAAATGTTGAGTCCTCTTATGACCACAATGCTTCACACTAAATTTTTTTAAAAAGTTCGCAAGCCAATAATAGGCGGACCAATCGACGAGCGGACAGGGTGGCGACACAATCCGATCACACTGATAAGTAGGCATATAAATAAAAATGTATGAACAATACGAGAGCAACATAAAATATCATCATTCCTCATATTCTTTCTCTTGTCTATAAGTACGATGGTATATTCCTAAAAAAAACAAAAACAAAAACACATAAAATATTCATATCAGTATTTGAGCTTATTTTTAAGGGAAATCCAACTTACGTACCCGCCAACGTGTAAACGTGACCTCGGTCTTCCGTCCCATCCGAACAACTAGACGCGATTCCTTGTCAGGATGCCTGCATACACCACTGACGAGGAAAAATGTCGAAATTCCCAGTGGAACTGTCGTGGCCATCATCCGGGGTCTATTAGTGAGCCATACAGGAAAATCCTGAGAAATTGTCTCGGTTAGCGTGTCGGCGTCTTTGTCATTTATGGAAGACCAAATGGGACAATATTCATGATTCTTGTTTCTACATTCCAGTTTGAATATTTTAGACATGAACGCAACATTCTAAACTAATGATTCTTGTTTCTACATTCTTATGTCAACATTTCATGCACAAAATCAACATTTTAAACCGAGAGAGAGAGAGAGAGAGAGAGAGAGAAAAATGGGGTTTAACGTCCACTCGACACAAACTAGGTCATTTCGGGACTAACATATGGTTTAATTTTATTTACATAATTCGCTTGCGCGTAGGGGTCTTTAGCAGTGGGAGGAAACCGGAGGACCCTGAAAAAACCCACGAGGTTGAACATTTTAAACAAACCAGCGGCTGCCAGACAGGATACGCCCACATTTTCGAGAGATGGATAGAGAACAAGCTAAGAAGAAAGTGATTTTTCGTACAATCAAGGGCCATAATTCAGGAAATTACCATTCGATATGCGCATATATCGCAAGGAACTGAGATCTTTGTGTTATAAACTTACATTTCAAGTTTCAACAAAATCGGATAAACATTGTGACCTCTATAGGGTCCACAACCTTGATATACCATATTTTTACGCTATTTGTGAACGAACGGCGGCGATTTTGTCTGTCAATTTTGGACCGATTTTCACGAAATTCTAATTCAGTCGTCCCTAGGGTGTAACGGTGATATAATAATACGTTTTTTTTAAATCGGGTAAAAATTATGACTTCTATAGAGTCCACAAGCTAAAAACGTGATTTTTCGTACAATCAGGGGTCATAATTCAGGAAGTTACGGTCCGATATGCACGAATATCGAAAGGAACCGAGATCTTTGGGTTATAAACTTACATTTCAAGTTTCAACAAAATCGGATAAAAATTGTGACCCCTATAGGGTCCACAACCTTGATATACCATATTCTTACGCTATTTGGGAACGAATGGCGGCCATTTTGTCTGTCAATTTTAGGCCGATTTTCACGAAATTCGAACTCAGTCATCCTTAGGGTGTAACGGTGATATAATAGAACGGTTTTTTTAAATCGGATAAAAATTATGACTTCTATAGGGTCCACAAGCTAAAAACGTGATTTTTCGTACAATCAGGGGCCATAATTCAGGAAGTTACGGTCCGATATGTACGAATATCGAAAGGAACCGAGATCTTTGGGTTATAAACTTACATTTCAAGTTTCAACAAAATCGGATAAAAATTGTGACCCCTATAGGGTCCACAACCTTGATATACCATATTCTTACGCTATTTGGGAACGAACGGCGGCCATTTTGTCTGTCAATTTGGGCCGATTTTCACGAAATTCGAATTCAGACATCCTTAGGAGATAACGGTGATATAATAGAACGGTTTTTTAAATCGGATAAAAATTATGACTTCTATAGGGTCCACAAGCTAAAAACGTGATCTTTGGGTTATAAACTTACATTTCATGTTTTAACAAAATCGGATAAAAATTGTGACCTCTATAGGGTCCACAAGCTAAAAACGTGATTTTTCGTACAAACAGGGGCCATAATCCATGAAGTTTCGATCCGATACATGCCAATATCGAAAGCAGCCGAGATCTTTTGGGGATAAACCTATATTTCAAGTTTCGTCGAAATCGGATAAGAATTGTGACCTGTAGAGAGTCCACAAACAATTGTGGACGGACGGACGGACAGGGGCGACGGCATAATACGTCCACATGAAAATGTGGGCGTATAAAAATTGACTTTATGTTTCATTTTCGGCGTTTTTCTAGCTGTTTAAATTATAGAAGTTATTTGTATTGTTATTATATCTCGAGCTTAGTTTCTGTTTCATGCAACTAATTACTGTAAACACAACAGGGGCCCACTTCCACTCGCGGAAAAGAGTACTTTTGATTTCTAATCTATAGTCTGCATCAAAGTTGTACACATACGCTAACGCCCTCTGGTGTAATAATGTTGATAATTCATTATATTTTTCTGGACATTTTCATTTCAAGATTTTAACTTCAAGACTTTTTGAAACGTAGAAAATATTTTCATAAGAGTTCAAATTCCAGATTTTTTTTAGATACTTTCAGAAACCAATGAATTGATTTCTTTGTCGTGTAAAATTAAGAAATTATTTAATGATATATAAAAGTTACCGATAAAACGCCGAAAATGAAACATAAAGTCAATTTTTTGTTTAAAATGTTGATTTTGTCTATGAAATGTTGCCATAAGAATGTAGAAACAAGAATCATTAGTTTAGAACGTTGCGTTCGTTTCTAAAATATTCAAACTGGAATGTAGAAACAAAAATCATGAATATTGTCCCATTTGGTCTTCCATAGTCATTGGGCTACGGTTGCTTCAAAATGCAGATTACACAATGTGTTTACAATATTGGTTGATAAATAAACATTAAAATCAAAATTACTTACCCGACTCCTCCTGGGTTAGGACAACCAGCATCTGTAAATATATATTAGTTTGCAATAATATATAGTGTGTTTTAAACCTAGGTCGTTTAGTTAACAAGGATTGATTCCAAATAGCACGAGGTCCGGGACCGATTATTGTTCAAGTCAGAACTGTACATGTGTAGCGTATTTAAACTACTGAGCTGGAATTTCGTAAGCATTTACACAAATTTGTATTATTTCATTACATCTGTATCATTTCGTATGCATACATTTTTATATCAAATACGTGCTATTTCTCGGAGGACAGTTCTCTCTAAATCAAATTATTGACTTCCAGAGACGGAAAGAACTGGATTATTGTGTTTCGGCCATCTGCGTCGCTAACAACAAGGATGTGTCTGGTCGTTCTTACTATAAACCGAGATCCTGTGTACATATTGAAAGTGCATTAAGGTTATCGGGGCAATTGGGGGCCGCGGTGGTTCAGTGAGTAAGACGATGACTCGCTAACCGGAAGGTTGGGGTTCACTCCCAGTGTTGGGTGAGAAAGTTCCTCTGGATTTTCCGCTGTCGTTCGCCCTTGTCAGTGGTCCAGGACGGGCGGTCTGGCAAGGACAGTTTCCTGGCTTTCGTTTTAAACGAAAAACCAAAGTCCAATGTAGACATTGACGGGCACGTAAAAATCTCATGACCGCTTGAATTCGTTATACGCGTATGCCGCTGTCAGTCCAAAATATCCCTCATGGCACACTGTATGGCTCATGCCCGTCTTTATTAGCATAGTTAAACCCCACTGCATGTCATTTATCGTGGCAGTTATAATTTGAGGAAGTTTAAGCGGAAATACTAGCGTCCGAGGAATTGTGCGTGTAAGCATGAATATAAAAAGACATGTTAGTCACAAACTTATCAGTGTAATCAGAGTATTGTATCGCCGTCCAGTCCAACCTCATTTCAGCAGATATTTATTACTGTTAAATTCTATTAATTTTATATACGTTGTATGTGCGCGTAATATGTGTGTGTTTTATATTATTAAACAACTGCTATCTATAAATGATTATATACTCGAGTAAAAACCACGATTCGAGGGAATGTTTTTGGCTGTAATGAAATATAAAGTAGTACTACATACCAGATGGAAAATTTTGTTATTTCTGTTGACCCAATTAAACTACCAAAATCTTGAACAGTTTGTTGATTAATACCAAATATAGGCTGATCTGTTGTCTGGGCACTACAACCAAATATAAGACGGGTTACTGAATTAAATCTGTTAATGGAAATCATCTGTTGCTTCGTTAAGAATTTTAAACATAATGCAACCAAAAAGGAAGACAAGGGTGAAATTATGTCAATGTAATGCAATTCAAAATGAGACACAGAAAGACGAACATGATATACGTGTATTTCAATAAATTGCGCAAGGGTCCTCCGTACGGTACCAATACAAGATGAACCTCATGACCTGGATACAGCATTCGACTTTTTACCTTGTCAACTAAACTCAGCTAGCTTAAAAAACTCAAACCACACTAGTACAAAGTTTCTGAGTTTGGAATGAGAAAAAGAACACTCACCTAGAATCATCCAGCGCAGATTCTGCACCCATTCCTTGAGGACTACTAAACTTCGGAGCTTCACCAAATCCCCCGGCTATGTTTAAAAAAAATATATATATTTGATTGGTGTTAGTCGCAGCTTTTCATGTTATAATATTGTACAGGTAACGAGCTCGGTGCAACCTAAGACAAGGATAAGGATTTAAAAGACCATATACTTCTAAAATATGTACACCCAAAGACCATATACTTCTAAAATATGTAGTATTGCACCACTCAGCTCATATTATCAATGGATCTTTCTGAACTTGATATTGGTTGTCAATTCTATTGTAATTATAAAAGGCGGGTAAGTAATATGGACTACGTGTAATTTCATGCGAGATATGCCCATATTTTACAAAAGACGGGTGGAGAACTGGGAAATCGACAGAAATGAAATCATTCTCTGGTGTTCTTAATGTTTCACATCGAATATAAAAAAGAATGCTTTAAAACTTTATTAGCTCTATCCTGCTCACATGGCCTTTGGAACGGAAAGCTGTATATCGATAGGTGTCGTCTTCGGATGACCCAAATGCTTCACACCAAATTTGAAATATCTGCAGCGTCCAGAAGGATTTCAGCAAATGGGGTTGTGAAACCCTGCCTACCAATATGGTTTCTCCTCTCGTGAACCTAATGCTTCACATCAAATGTTTTAAAAAAGTCATTTTCGGAATAGGGTAAGTGACTCCAGGACCGTTGAATATCAATCGGGTTCGTCCTCTCATGACCCCAATGCTTCAAGTCAAATTTGAAAAAAGCATCCGTTAAAAACTGTAGCTTTAACAATCCAATTGTTGGCGGATTGACGAACCGATGGACAGACATGGCAAAATGAAATGTGGGCGTATAACATTTGAAATAAATGGGGTTAAACGTCCTACTGTTCTGTTCCCACTGGGCTAATGAAGACTGGCATACGCTATACAATGTGATATGAGGGAAATCTTGCTCGGACCTCGGTTTTTTGTCACATGAACGCAATTAAGAGTGATATGTCATTCATAATGTTATGTTTATATTCAGTAAAATACGTTTGATCTACCTGTTAGTTGATTAATTCCTGTGGTTGGTTGTCCACTCACTCCACTCCTTCCCCGTCCTGCACCTACAAGTCCACCTCCTCCACCTCCCAACCTCCCTCTGCCACTAACATGCTGTGATGATGTTTGGCCAAATGATGGTGCACTGTTGAAATAAATAGGTGAAATTTAAGGTGATCACTGGAAAAGCAGCTATAAGTTTTATTGATATTATGATATCAATCTCCTAGGTACTGTTGTTGTTTCTGTGGGTGATGTTACTGAGGATGATAAACGGGCTTAAATTGTTGAACCAGTTGATATATTAAGATTGGTAGGTATTATATGGGACTAAAGGCTACGTGATATGTGCGGATGATCTTAGTACACAAGTACACGGTGTGGAGCATTCGTCAACCTGCATGTTAGTGATGGGGGCGGGTGTCTCAAAAACTCTGATTTGTAGAGTGTTTCCAAGACTTGTGAAGAGAAGTGGACAGTGACGTGATGACAACATTCGTCCACATTCATCCTTCCGAGTACTAAATTATGAGAATTAACTCAATTCTGAGTAAGTCAATGGTCAGTATGTGTATCAAACTGTTCCTTGCGACCCTCTGGAGTAAGGAACAGTTTGATACCCATGCTGTGCTTTACTAAGGGTATATACCCCGAGATATGCATTTAAGGAAGCGATTTTACATAAGCTGGAATGCTTGTTATTCTCTAAGTTGACCACTAAGAAGGATTGCTGTTACCCAAGGAGGTCCCAAGAGACAGTTCGATACCCATTATGTGCTTGTACTGAAGGTATGTCCTGAGATTTGTATGTAAAGTAGATTGGGCGTGGCCGGTCGATTGTGACCATTGGCTTACTTAGATGTGTGTTAATCGCTAAAATAGACAACGTACGGCCTTTTCTATTTTTCTCGTTTTCTCTTATCTAGTGACATACAATTATTTTTGGGGGGATTGTCAGATACTCAGAAGTGGGATAATCCCTAAAATTAACAACTCAGAAGGATTTACATTGTCATTGGGGATCCAAAGGAATATTTTGACACCGGTTTCGTTGATGTACTCGAGATATGTTACAAAACAAATTTTGGCAGTAACATGAACAGCGCCCCCTGGTGGTGTCTCAAAAAGAGTTGCGCTTTTGGGGGATCAAACGTTTTGTACATGCGATGTTAATTAAATCTCCTTGGTAGCTCCTGGACTAACAGGGAGTGTCGCGACACCAGAAGTAGTATAACTCTGAAACCGCTAGTGGTAGTTCACCCCCGAAAAGACATTGGTAGAATGAAGGAAACTGTTTAGTAAATTATTTGTATATATTTAAACTCTTTTAACTTGTTTGTATTCATATAGGTAATTCTAATATAGTTTAATTATGTCTTCAAAAATGCTTATTGTGAGCTGAAATATAGATTCGTGCCATTTAACACAAGAAATAGATAATATATTACGGTACCTAAAAATGGGATATACATCGGACATATTTCATACTGCTCTAGAACGAATGTTATCAAAGAACTAAATGACAGTACCATGTTGGAAATCTAAAGAAACAACAATCACGTAGAAAAACTATTTGCTCTATTTATTGTAGAGTCAACTGTTAGAGGAGGTGGTACAGATTGTGTAGCTCTGTTCCATGAAGCCGGTTTTGCACCACTAACTGTAGCTCCACCAGCCGATGAAGCAGCACTGAATAATTCAGCTATGTAATCAAAATGACAATATTGTTTTTTTGTTAAGAACTTCAGCAAAGGGGGCGTAGAACGGGGGGCGGGCGTATAAAGCTGTATATCGATAGGGGTTCTCTTATGCTTCACGCCAAATTTGAACATTTTTCGGAAAAGGGGAGGTAACTCCGGAACGAAAGTTAGCGGACCGTTGAATATCAATCTGGTTCGTCCTCTCATGACCCCAATGTTTCACGCAAAATTTGAAAAAAAAAGATCCGTTACAAACTGTAGCGTTAACAAACCAAATGTTGGAGGAAGGACGAACCGACGGACAGTTAATTATTGTAGTAAGTTAATTATTACACACTGCCAACAAGCACAATCGGTGCAGAAAAGTAGGATGTTAATTGGCGAGCTGGATTCGTTATAAGCTTAGGGTGTAGCGTCGCCTCCAGTGCCAAATATCCCTCATGACACACTGCTTTGCGTATGCCTGTGATTATTAGAATAGTTGAGCCCCATTTCATTTCATTTATCGTGACATTTATAATTTGAAGAAGTTTAAGCGGAAATACTAACGTCCGGGTAAAATGCCCCGCTTTGTAACCATAAATATAACCAGCGGCTGCCAGGCAAGATACGCCCACATTTTGCAAGAGATGGATAGAGAACAAGCTAAAAGAAAAGCGATTTTTCGTACAATCAGGGGCCATAATTCAGTAAGTTATGATCTGAAATGCGCGAATATCGAAATGGACCGAGATATTTGGGATATAAAGATATATTTTAAGTTTCATCAAAATCGGATAACAATTGTGACTTCTAGATAGTCCACAACCTTGATATTACATACTTTTATACTATTTGCGTACAATGAGTGGCCACTTTGTTAGGCAGTTTGAGTCAGATTTTTACGAAATTTGAAGTCATCCTTCATTGGTGTATAACGGTGATATATTTAAACGTTTTTTAAACTTGAATACACATTGTGACTTCTAGTGTGTCCACAAGCTAAAAATGCGATTTTTCGACAAATCAGGGGTATTAATCCAGGAGGTTACGTTCTAATATGCGCAATTATCGAAAGGAACTAGAAGCTTTGTGATATAAACATGAATGTAAAGTTTCGTCAAAATCGGATCAAAATTGTAGCCACTTAGAGGGTCCACAACCTTGATGTACCACATATTTACACTATTTGCAGCCATTTTGTGCGTCCGTTTTGGTCTGATTATCACGACATTCGAACTCAACCTTCATTAGGGTGTAACGGTGATATATTCAAACGTTTTTTTTTAAATCGGATAAAAATTGTGACCTCTAAAGGACCACAAGCTAAAAACACATTTTTTCGTACAATCAAGGGCCATAATTCAGGAAGTTATGATTCGATATGCGCAATTATCGAAAGGAACCAAGATCTTTGCGTTATAAACATCCATATCAAGGTTCATTAAAATCAGATGAAAATTGTGACCTCTGGGGTGTCACAAGCTAAAAACGTGATTTTTCGTACAATCAGGGGCCATAATCCATAAAGTTTCGATCCGATACATGCCAATATGGATAGGTAACCGAGATCTTTTGGAGATAAACCTATATTTCAAGTTTCGTCAACATCGGATAAGAATTGTGACAGTGGCGACGACAATATACGTCCACATGAAAATGTACGCGTATAAAAATGCAACATGTTAGTCAGAAACTTAACACAGTAATCAGAGTATTGTATTCTCGTCTAACCCCATTTCAATGTCATTGTGCATCAGAATATTGTAAATATAACGTGTCTCTCTCGGCTATTATTCTAGATATATTTAATTGACACGTATACTATTACTGTCTCCCTGATAATGTCTACTACATCGTTAACACAGTTCATCGCGTGCATTTTGCATACCGATAGTTCATTGGCCAATCACGCTATTTTACCGACATTTCGCCTAATAGTTTGGATGCAGCTATGGCGGGTGTGGCGCCAGGCAGGGTAAGCTTACTCTTCCGGACACCTGTTACCACTGTTTGTCGTGTATTTTGTACACGAGGAGCAGTCCATTTGCTGATTACACTATTTTGCTTGAATACACTATTTTGCCTATAACGTTTTTTAGGACTTCGAATTCTGTCTTATGGTTTGAATTGTTCGTACTTGGTTTTATTTTATTTTTATTAAAGTCCAACAGTATCAATTACAGTATCATTACGTATCACATCAGAGTATTGTATTGCCGTCCAACTCCATTTCAAGTCCATAACGTATCAGCAGATTAATTGTTATTTAATACTTTTAAATTCTTCTAATTTTATATATGTTTTATATGTGTGGCTAATGTATGTGTGTTTCATATGATTAAATCTATAAATATGGATAATATACTTGAGTAAAACCACTATTCGAGGGAATGTATTTCCATGTAATGAAATATAAAGTAGTACTACATACCAGGTGGAAAATTCTGTTGTTTCTGTTGACTTAACGATAAACTAGCAAAATCTTCAAGTTGATTCAGATTACCAAATGCATGGGCACTACAACCATATAAGATGGGTTACTGAATAAAATCTATTAATGGAAATCATCTGTTGCTTGGTCAAGAATTTAAAAAACCAAAAAGGGAGGCAAAGGTGAAATTATGTCAATGTAATGCAATTCAAAATGAGAAACAGAGACGAACATGATATACGTGTATTTCAATAAATTGCTTATTCGCATTCTGTAAGGTACCAAGATGAACCTCATGACCTGGATACAGCATCCGACTCTTTAACTTGTCAACTAAACTCAGCGAGCTTGAAAAACTCAAACCACCCTAGTACAAAGTTTCTGTGAGTTTGGCAATAAGGAAAAGAACACTCACCTAGAACCACTAAACTTCGGAGGTCCACCAAATCCCCCGGCTATGTTTTAAAAAAATATATATTTGATTGGTGTTAGTCGCAGCTTTTCATGTTATAATATTGTACAGGTAACGAGCTCGGTGCAACCTAAGACAGGGATAAGGATTTAAAAGACCATATACTTCTAAAATATGTACACCCAAAGACCATATACTTCTAAAATATGTACACCCAAAGACCATATGCTTCTAAAATATGTACACCCAAAGACCATATGCTTGTAAAATATGTACACCCAAAGACCATATGCTTGTAAAATATGTACACCCAAAGACCATATGCTTGTAAAATATGTACACCCAAAGACCATATGCTTGTAAAATATGTACACCCAAAGACCATATGCTTGTAAAATATGTACACCCAAAGACCATATGCTTCTAAAATATGTACACCCAAAACCCATATGCTTCTAAAATATGTACACCCAAAGACCATATGCTTCTAAAATATGTACACCCAAAACCCATATGCTTCTAAAATATGTAGTATTGCAACACTCAGCTCATATTATCAATGGATCTTTCTGAACTTGATATTGGTTGTCAATTCTATTGTAATTATAACAGGCGGGTAAGTAATATGGACTACGTGTAATTTCATGCGAGATATGCCCATATTTTACAAAAGACGGGCATCGACAGGATTCATCCTCTGGTGTTCTAAATGTTTCACATCGAATATGAAAAAGAATACATTAAAAACGTAACTCTTTCCCGTTCACGAGATCTTTGGAACGGAAAGCTGTATATCGATAGGTGTCGTCCTCGCATGACTCAGATGCTTCACACCAAATTGGAGGTAAATCCATTAAAAACTGTGGCCTATATCGCGTTCAGAAGAATTTCAACAAATGTGGTTGTGGAACGCTGCCTATCAATATGTTTTCTTTTTCTCTCATGAACCCAATGCTTCACATCAAATTAAAAGAAAATATATTTTCGGAATAGTGAAGGTAACTCCAGAATGAAAGGTCGCGAAAATTAGAAAAACTGTAGCGTTAGCGGACGGAGCAACCGATGGACAGACATGACGACATGAAATGTGGGCGTATAACATTTATAGACGCGTATTGAAAAGTAGGGTTATTATTACACGCTGGGGATGCTCAATTGTCAGTCCAGAACGTCCCGAATTGACAGAATTGCAACCGAGTGACGGGGAATTCAGTCCTATCACAGTTCTGTCAGTCCCAACAACTGAGGTGGTGTGAGTAGAATCGTGATGTAATTAAACACAACGAATATGTTTCAGCTGTCAAAGTTGACTGAGATATTTTCTTATGCAGTCGACGCATGCGTTGTAGCCCGAAACCCCATTTTCACTCGATTGTTACAATTTTTGGGATAGAAAGAATTCAATTCCGTAACATTCAATCCAGTGTCCAGCAAGTAAACCTGTATTGTGTTGTCACGTGCCGCGCTCTTCAACTCAATTAAGAATGATATGTCATTTATAATTATTGTTATGTTTGTATTCGTAAAATAAGTTGAGCCTACCTGTTTGTTGATTCTGTCCGGTGGTTGGTTGTCCACTCACACCACTAATCCCTCCCCTTCCGTTACCGCCAGATCCACTACCAAATGATGGTGCACTGTTTGAAATAAATAAGTGAAATTTAAGGTTATACTGTAAGCAGGTATAAGTTTTAGTGGTATTATGATATCAATCTCCCAGGTACTGTTGCTCCTTCTGTTGGTGATGTTACTGGGGATGATAAACAAGGCTTAAATTGTAAGCTGAGAATCCCCACACACCAATCTGATTAAAACACAGATCCTATTTCGTTTCTTTTTTATAGTTCAAAATTTCGTTTACTTGTCTTTACTACACTAGGATCTGGAAGAGTTGTTATCATTTACGTGCTCTCAATAGTGTGAGATATTAACCAACGAAACGGTCTGTTACGGCGAGCTTTTAGGCGTGTTTTGAACGGAACTGTGGGTAATCCACTAGTAACATCAATGCTGATTGGTTAATCAAATGTCTGACGTCATAGGTCAAAATTTGCTCGTATGACCTCTGTCGTGACCTATCGCAACAACCGGTCAGATCTTCATGTAGTGTAGGCCATCGAAAGTATAAAAAAACGAAACGAAATATAGATCTGTATTTTAATCAGATTTCCCACAGACCGAGTTGCTGTTGTTGTCTGTAGCGAATTGGATTCAACCTTTACTCTCATGGATTGTTGAACCAGTTGATATATTAAGACTGGTAGGAAGAATTACAATGGAACTAACGGCGTACGAGATATGTGCGGATGTTCTTAGTACACGGTGTGGGTCATTCGTCAACCTGCATGTTAGAGATGGGGGCTGGTATCTCAAAAACTTTGAATTGTAGAGTGTTTCCAAGAACTATATGAAAAGTAGTCAATTATGGGGATTAACTCACTTCTGGGTAGGTCAAAGGTCACCATTGGTTGGCCACGCCCAACCTACCGTAAATGAAATAAATAGAATTAGGGTTTAACGTCCTACTGTTCAATTCCAATTGGGCTTATAAAGACGGGCATACAACATACAGTGTATTATGAGGGAAATTTTGCCCGGACAACGGCGCTGCGGCCTATTCTTATATCGAATTCCAACTGCCAATGGATCTTTTACGTGAACGCTAATGTGTACACGGGACTTCGGTTTTTCGTCACATTATGTTCTGGGGTCATGGCACCTGAAACAAAGGTCTTGTGCTGAAATTAGTTCCCCAATTACAGAATTACAAAGAAAAGCCATTAAATTGGAGTTATTCATCCTCCAAAATGACAACTAAGAAGGATTTCAAAGTCCCCAGTGGATTCCAAGGAACAGTTTGGCACCTGTATGTTGCATGTACTCGACTATCTGCATGAAATGTGAATTGTGCAACTTAGCAGAGCCAACCCATAATAGCCTTTGACCTACTCAGAATGGAGTTAATCTCTAAAACTGACAACCCGTAACACCCATTTTGTGCTTGAACTGGAGAAGTGCAATAAAGATCGAAATGACATTTGACCTACTCAGAATAGGGTCAGTGCCTACATTTGACAACTCGGAAGGAACAGTTTGGTGCCTATTTTATGCTTATATTGAAGGAATGTGCTGAGATATGCATTTAGGGGGTAGATTGGACATTGCCTAAAAATGGTACCCTTTGACCTACTCCCCAAAGCGGGTATCCCCTAAACTGACTACCCAGGAGGATTCATGTTGCCTCAGGGAATTGCAAGTAACAATTAAAATTTGATATCCATTTTGTGCTTGTACTGAAGGTATGTACTGAGATATCCATTTAAGGTGGATTAGATGTGCGCTGAAAAATGGTGAGCTTTGACCTACTCCGAAGTGGGTTAATTCCCAAAATTGACTATTCAAAAAGATTTGTGTTGCCCCAGGTGGTCTCAAGTAACAGTTTGATACTCATGCTGTGATTGTACTGTGGGTATATACCGAGATATGCCTTTAATATGGCCGACAAATGGTAACCTTTACCTTACCAAAGTTGACCACTAAGAAGGATTGATTTTTCCCAAGGAGGTCCCAAGAAACAGTTTGATACCCATTTTGTGCTTGGACTGAAGGTGTGTACTGAGAATTGCATTTAAAGTAGATATTTCGTGGCTGGCCGATTGTGACCTTTGTCTTACTCAGAAGTGGGTTAATTCCGAAAATTGACAACCCAGAAGGATTTATATTGTCATTGGGGATCCTAAGGAACAATAGGAACAATTTGACACAGGCTTCGTGGATGTATTCGAGATGTGTTACAAAACCAAGCCTTACCATAGAGTTGCCTGGGGTGGGGAGGGGGCGTGGTCAAATAGCTGCTAATTCCACTCCTCAAACATTTTGAACTCGAGATGTTTATTAAATCTTTGGTAGCTCCTGGACTAACGGGGAGTTTTGTGACACCGGAAGTAGTATATCTCTAAAGCGAAAGTTGTAGTTCACCCCCCCGAACAGAACAGAAATTGGTAGAATGAAGGTAAGTGTTCAGTAATTTTTTTGTATATAATTAGACTGACTCTTAAAACTTGTTGGTATTCATATAGGCAATTGTAATATAGATTTGTACCATTTCACACAAGAAATAGATACTATATTACGGTACCTAAACATAGGATTATATCCGACATATTTGATGTGAATGGTATCGGAAAAATGAATGATAGTACCATGTTAGAAATGAGTCTAAGGAAAAGATCACTCACCTAGGAAAATTCTGTGCACTACTCGCTGTAGAGTCGAATGTCTGGGATGGTGTAAATTTTGGAGGTCTGATCAATGAAGCATCAAAGGGAGAACTACTTAACGCTGAAGCTCCACCAACTGATGAAGTAGCTCCAAATAATACACCTATGTAAACAGAATAACCAAATTGTATTTGATTATATTATAATTTGCCATGTTAACGAGCTAGATGTACATATGTATTGTTGCAAGATCGAACCCTTACTCTTGCTGAGTGACGATTTCTTGGGTATTTACATTAAACACCTTATATGATGCCTGCATTCAGTCCTTTAGAGTAGTTTAATCAGTCTATCACATGGTAGTAATCTGTTATCTACAGTAGGTAACACATTATCGTAGTGATTTTTTGCATTCAGTAAAATAACTTGTAACATGGACGGGAAATCTCCCTTTGTTGTTTTCATTGAATAAGCAGACTGTTTTCCCTCGAGTAGTTTGGGTGGACCTTAACCGTACAATAACTTATTACTACCTGTTTGTTGATGAGTTGTAACATAGGATTGGGTGTCTCCAAATATATTGGTGCTGGCTTTTTTTTCGCTTGATTGTCCTCCAAATCCACGATCTTCTTCGCCCCTTTTTTTAAACCCACCACGATAACTACTAGGCTGGGATGATGTTAAACTATATGTTAGTGTTGGAGCAGCACTGTTTGAAATGGAAACGTGAAAATATGACAAGGTTTTGATTGGAAACACGTGTTTAATTTTTAGTGATTTGTTGATCGCTTTATTAATTCATTTACAAAAGTACAAACAAAAGACAGTTCTTCCTCAAATGAGTTGAAGCGAGAGTAGTAACGTTACGTTAACTACAAGCGTCATTTCTAAGCAAAGATTGGTTAGATTGGTAAAGTATTGTATGATTACAAACAACACATCCTTATTATTAATCTGTTTAAACAGGTTAGAGCAATAGAGAGAGAGGGAGTCAGAGAAAGAGAGATGGAGTTCAACGTCCGCTCAACACAAAATAGATCATTTCGGCACTAACACACGGTACACTTTTATTTCAATAATTGGTATGCGCTTTGGGGTTTTTTTTAGCTGTGGGAGGAAACCGTGGGGCCCAGAGAAAACCCACGAGATTGGAGAGGCGGTCCTACTCCTTGTCATGTACAAGCGGGAAATGGAAACCACGCCACATGACTAAATGACAGACCTTGCGATCTAATGCGCATGATTTAAATTATTCGCCCCCCCCCCCAAAGGTTACATAAAGGCAACCACTCCAATTACGTTCTTGCCTTTCTCATATAAAGTAAACTATGTCACTGTGAGCACACCAGAGCATCATCGTAAAGCATAACAGGTTTGCTTTATAATTTGAGGACAAAACTATTTAAAAATTTAAATTTAAATGAAATTCTACTTCACTGTTGAAAAGTTTAAAGGTGGGATTTAACGTCCACTCAAAACAAACTAGGTCATTTCGGGACTAACATATGGTTCAATTTTTTTTTCAATAATTCGCTTGCGCGTAGGGGTCTTTAGCTGTGGGGCGAAACTGGGAGACCTGGAGAAACCCACGTACAACTGGGGAATCGAAACCACGGCAGCTAATTGACTCAATTGAATCAGATTGCCCACAGACCGAGTTGCTGTTGTTGTCTGTAGCGAATTGGATTCAACCTTTACTCTCATGGATTGTTGAACCAGTTGATATATTAAGACTGGTAGGAAGAATTACAATGGAACTAACGGCGTACGAGATATGTGCGGATGTTCTTAGTACACGGTGTGGGTCATTCGTCAACCTGCATGTTAGAGATGGGGGCTGGTATCTCAAAAACTTTGAATTGTAGAGTGTTTCCAAGAACTATATGAAAAGTAGTCAATTATGGGGATTAACTCACTTCTGGGTAGGTCAAAGGTCACCATTGGTTGGCCACGCCCAACCTACCGTAAATGAAATAAATAGAATTAGGGTTTAACGTCCTACTGTTCAATTCCAATTGGGCTTATAAAGACGGGCATACAACATACAGTGTATTATGAGGGAAATTTTGCCCGGACAACGGCGCTGCGGCCTATTCTTATATCGAATTCCAACTGCCAATGGATCTTTTACGTGAACGCTAATGTGTACACGGGACTTCGGTTTTTCGTCACATTATGTTCTGGGGTCATGGCACCTGAAACAAAGGTCTTGTGCTGAAATTAGTTCCCCAATTACAGAATTACAAAGAAAAGCCATTAAATTGGAGTTATTCATCCTCCAAAATGACAACTAAGAAGGATTTCAAAGTCCCCAGTGGATTCCAAGGAACAGTTTGGCACCTTTATGTTGCATGTACTCGACTATCTGCATGAAATGTGAATTGTGCAACTTAGCAGAGCCAACCCATAATAGCCTTTGACCTACTCAGAATGGAGTTAATCTCTAAAACTGACAACCCGTAACACCCATTTTGTGCTTGAACAGGAGAAGTGCAATAAAGGTCGAAATGACATTTGACCTACTCAGAATAGGGTCAGTGCCTACATTTGACAACTCGGAAGGAACAGTTTGGTGCCTATTTTATGCTTGTATTGAAGGAATGTGCTGAGATATGCATTTAGGGGGTAGATTGGGCATTGCCTAAAAATGGTACCCTTTGACCTACTCCCCAAAGCGGGTATCCCCTAAACTGACTACCCAGGAGGATTCATGTTGCCTCAGGGAATTGCAAGTAACAATTAAAATTTGATATCCATTTTGTGCTTGTACTGAAGGTATGTACTGAGATATCCATTTAAGGTGGATTAGATGTGAGCTTTGACCTACTCCGAAGTGGGTTAATTCCCAAAATTGACTATTCAAAAAGATTTGTGTTGCCCCAGGTGGTCTCAAGTAACAGTTTGATACTCATGCTGTGATTGTACTGAGGGTATATACCGAGATATGCCTTTAATTTGGCCGACAAATGGTAACCTTTACCTTACCAAAGTTGACCACTAAGAAGGATTGATTTTTCCCAAGGAGGTCCCAAGAAACAGTTTGATACCCACTTTGTGCTTGGACTGAAGGTGTGTACTGAGAATTGCATTTAAAGTAGATATTTCGTGGCTGGCCGATTGTGACCTTTGTCTTACTCAGAAGTGGGTTAATTCCGAAAATTGACAACCCAGAAGGATTTATATTGTCATTGGGGATCCTAAGGAACAATAGGAACAATTTGACACAGGCTTCGTGGATGTATTCGAGATGTGTTACAAAACCAAGCCTTACTTTAGAGTTGCGTGGAGAGGGGAGGGGGTGGTCAAATAGCTGCTAATTCCACTCCTCAAACATTTTGAACTCGAGATGTTTATTAAATCTTTGGTAGCTCCTGGACTAACGGGGAGTTTTGTGACACCGGAAGTAGTATATCTCTAAAGCGAAAGTTGTAGTTCACCCCCGAACAGAACAGAAATTGGTAGAATGAAGGTAAGTGTTCAGTAATTTTTTTGTATATAATTAGACTGACTCTTAAAACTTGTTGGTATTCATATAGGCAATTGTAATATAGATTTGTACCATTTCACACAAGAAATAGATACTATATTACGGTACCTAAACATAGGATTATATCCGACATATTTGATGTGAATGGTATCGGAAAATGAATGATAGTACCATGTTAGAAATGAGTCTAAGGAAAAGATCACTCACCTAGGAAAATTCTGTGCACTACTCGCTGTAGAGTCGAATGTCTGGGATGGTGTAAATTTTGGAGGTCTGATCAATGAAGCATCAACGGGAGAACTACTTAATGCTGAAGCTCCACCAACTGATGAAGTAGCTCCAAATAATACACCTATGTAAACAGAATAACCAAATTGTATTTGATTATATTATAATTTGCCACGTTAACGAGCTAGATGTACATATGTATTGTTGCAAGATCGAACCCTTACTCTTGCTGAGTGACGATTTCTTGGGTATTTACATTAAACACCTTATATGATGCCTGCATGCAGTTCTTTAATAGAGCAGTTTAATCAGTCTATCACATGGTAGTAATCTGTTATCTACAGTAGGTAACACATTATCGTAGTGATTTTTTGCATTCAGTAAAATAACTTGTAACATGGACGGGAAATCTCCCTTTGTTCTTTTCATTGAATAAGCAGACTGTTTTCCCTCGAGTAGTTTGGGTGGAGCTTAACCGTACAATAACTAGACATCTTCAATGTTATTGCACTATTTTGCTGGTTTACACTAGTTTTAGTAGAAATCATATAGAGAAGTGGTGTGGGTTTTCTGTGCAATAACAACGAGCATGTCGAGCAGTTGTCAGTGTTACAAGTCATTTATAGCACGCTTCATGAAAGCCGTGCTATATATATATATTACTACCTGTTTGTTGATGAGTTGTAACATAGGATTGGGTGTCTCCAAGTACATTGGTGCTGGCTTTTTTTTCGCTTGATTGTCCTCCAAATCCACGATCTTCTTCGCCCCTTTTTTTAAACCCACCACGATAACTACTAGGCTGGGATGATGTTGAACTATATGTTAGTGTTGGGGCAGCACTGTTTGAAATGGAAACGTGAAATTATGACAAGGTTTTGATTGGAAACACGTGTTTAATTTTTAGTGATTTGTTGATCGCTTTATTAATTCATTTACAAAAGTACAAACAAAAGACAGTTCTTCCTCAAATGAGTTGAAGCGAGAGTAGTAACGTTACGTTAACTACAAGCGTCATTTCTAAGCAAAGATTGGTTAGATTGGTAAAGTATTGTATGATTACAAACAACACATCCTTATTATTAATCTGTTTAAACAGGTTAGAGCAATAGAGAGAGGGGGAGTCAGAGAGAGAGAGATGGAGTTCAACGTCCGCTCAACACAAAATAGATCATTTCGGCACTAACACACGGTACACTTTTATTTCAATAATTGGTATGCGCTTTGGGTTTTTAGCTGTGGGAGGAAACCGTGGGGCCCAGAGAAAACCCACGAGATTGGAGAGGCGGTCCTACTCCTTGTCATGTACAAGCGGGAAATGGAAACTACGCCACATGACTAAATGACAGACCTTGCGATCTAATGCGCATGATTTAAATTATTCGCCCCCCCCCCCAAAGGTTACATAAAGGCAACCACTCCAATTACGTCCTTGCCTTTCTAATATAAAGTAAACGATGTCACTGTGAGCACACCAGAGCATCATCGTAAAGCATAACAGGTTTGCTTAAATAGTTTTGTCATAAAATTATTATTACTTTTTACATTTTTAACGTCCTACCTCTTCTGCACCGACTGGGCTAATGAAGACGGGTTTAACGTCATACCTCTTCAGCACCGACTCGGTTAATGAAGTCGGGTACATTTTCAAAACATTTCAGAGTGGGTAACATTGTCCTCAAATGGCAAAATAAATTATAAAATTATCAGTTATTTTAAGTAACCTACCCATCTCCTTTCTTTTTTCCAAACATTGTTATCTTAGTTGCGTTTCTGGATTCCATGTCATCAGCAGTTACAAAGACTGTTTTAGATGATATCTGGTCTCCTACAGTTGGTGATGATGGCAAGGCTGAACCTGATTTACAGGGGTGGCTACACCCAAGGGATGCCGTTTTTTTGCAAATATTTGGATGATTACTCACATCAACAGCTTGAGCCTTGGCATTTGATGTCCCTCCTACTGATGTAGATTTATTTTTGTTTGTATTAATAAGAGATGCTGAAGGCAATACTGCTGCACCTTCTGCAGTTTCGTCAGGGCAAATAGTACCAACTTGATAAGATGGCGGGGCTTTTGATGTAACTCGAATAAAAGTGAATAAAGTAGGAGCATATATCCTCAATTACCCAATTTACCGCCCGTCTTCATTAGCCCAGTTCGGAGCAGAACAGTAGGAGGTTAAACCCATTTCAAAATTTCCAGGTGTTAGTTTCAAAATTACCCAAGATTGCTTAGACCAGTGATTCTCAACCAGTGTGCCGCGAAATTTTGAACGGCACACTGAGAAAATTTCTCACTAAAGAAGCCAGCTATAAAGTAAGTTCATAGCTGTGGTTTTTCTTTATTTAGTTTGAGTCATTCTATGTGTCTACGGTTGTATGCCGTCTATGACTTGCCATGTTTTATATTGCAAAATTCAAATGTTTTTCATATGTATTTAGCCAGGTATGCCGCCATTATTGTCATGTTTTCAAAGGTGTGCCGTTGGCCAGAAAAGGTTGAGACCCAATGGCTTAGACGAAACATTAAGAATAAAAAAGTGTGAGTGTTATGTTGACGAGACAGTAGGCCCCATTTCTCTATCTTTCAATATTATTGTCGTTGATAAGAACTCGAATGAAGAGGACGTTATATGAGGTCTTTCATTGAGTCCAAAGTACACTGGGATCTTCCGACGTGGTTTACCCTTGTCAATACGGAGGGTTCTGACAAGGACAGCTATCTAGTCGTTAAAGATCCCTTGGCAGTTGGAATTCGATATGATTCGGCCATAGTGCCGCTGCCTGGGCACAATTTCCCTCATGGCACCCTGTATGGCGTATGACCGTCATCATTATCCCAGTCAGCAGAATAGTAGGACGTTAAACCTCCTTTCATTTCATTTCATCAAGTGGCTTCGTTTCGATCTCATACTTGCACGTGGCTCCATCGTTGTGATAAGGAGAAGAGTCGCCTGCCTAACCTTCGTGGGTTTTCTCAAGGTCCTTCACGAAAGCGAGTAATGGAAATAAAATGTACCCCTGTAAGGACCTACCATTAGGCTTTTAGCTTATTGATATCATATTGGCTACATCCGGTGACATGCCGAGACCAGACAGTTGACAACGGCCCCAGCATCCATTTTAGGGAAGTATCCAATCACAGAATGCAATAAGAAGGGTTTTTTCACTACATGTGTATGCACATTTAAAATGTGTTCCTATACACGAGTCTTAGGGGCATACAATCACAGAGTTGCCAACAGACCCACGGATATCGGTCTTCTTGACCTAACCTGAATTACATAAAGGCTCTCTCTGCTTCTGTGCTTCACTCAGTGCCCGGGTGTTCGCATACAGCGAAAAACCGAGGTCGCGTGTACATAAAAGACGCCTTGATAGTTTGGATATGAAATAAGAGTAGGCTGTGGCGCCAATGCCCGGGCAAAATTTCACTCACAGATTTTACCATTCGTTAAAGCGTTCCAAAGAGTTCCACGTCATATTAGGGTTTGTTATATATTGATTTTACTAAACCTATGCCCCCCCCCCCACCGCCCCCAAAAGAAAAAAAACAACACAGCAACAACAAATCTACTTTACTAATTATTTACTGTGACTGGTCTACCAATGATGTTTGCTGTGCCCTCCATGCGATCTTCTGCCATGTGATCCTCCGCCATAACCATAGGGACCATAAGGACTACCATATGGTGACCCATAAGGATTGTAACCGTATGGTGAACCATAAGGATTATAACCATATGGTGAAGAACCATAAGTAGCCCAGTAATTACTAGGGTATCCTGTACTGGTAGCCACTCCACCGGTAACGTCCGTGGGAACTGTGCTGAATCCATTGTAGGGTGTTCCATCAAGGTTGACGTATTCCCGGTTGCTGTAACCTTGGTTATAAGACGGCTGGTTGTTAAAGTTATTGTTCGGAGCACCGAACGTAGCAGGGAAGCCGTAAGCTCGGGACTGATACTGTCTAGGTTCAGGTGTATAAGCTCGGTTTGTGTGTTTCACATGTTGCTTGTTCTGATTAGCTTCGCCACCACTAACTACTGAACCTTGACCAATCGCCGTCTCCGTTTCATTTTTTGTTTCTGTAACCTGCTTCGGATTGAATTGATGGAAAATAAATTTACATGAAATAAATTGAGAAATAAATGGGATTTAACGTTATACAAATGAAATGAAATGGGATTTAACGTCCTACTCTTCTGCTCCGAACTGGGCTAATGAAGACGGGCATACGCCATAAAGTGTGCTATGAGGGAAATTTTGCCCGGATAGGGGCGCTACAGCCTTCTCTTATATCGAATTCCAACTGCCAAAGGATCTCTTACGTGCACGCCAATGAGTACACGGGGCTTCGGTTTTTCGTCCCATCCGAACGACAAGACAGTTGTCCTTGTCAGGCCCTCCGTCCTGCACCACTGTCAAGGGGATAGTACGCCGGAAAATCCCGATAACTTTCATCTGTGTTTATCAATTCGAATGAGTGTGGCAAGGATGTTACCTGTTCGGCTATTTTAGCTGCATTTATCTTAGCGAAAAAAGCCTTCAAACGTTCCTGAACAGCTGGATCAACTGGTACACAAGCTACACAGGTGATTCCCAGAACAGCTAACAGCAGTGGGATATTCATCTTGTATTACCTTTAATATACAAAAGACAATATTTTTATTGTGAAATCATATAAATTTTGGATATGATGTCTAGAATATGCATATCCATAAAATACCCTCTTTGTCGGTCACTTTTTTGCTATTCTCTTTGTCGGTCAGTTTTTGCTATTCTCCTTGTCGGTCATTTTTTGCTATTCTCTTTGTCGGTCACTTTTTGTTATTCTCCTTGTCGGTCACTTTTTGCTATTCTATGGGTGTTATTATCTGATCTGGCCTTTGACTATTAGGACCCAGAGGCACCACACAGTCAATCGTAAACGTTTGTTAAATTCCAATGAACAAATTCCGCCCCAATCGGTACAATTAAAAATATTCATATCTGTTCGTCAAAGGCGGTTCAAACCTTTTATATATCTTAAACGGGCATTATGCAAGAGCTAAATCTGTCTATTGCAGATCTTTCTTTGGGCCTTAAATGTTATATAAACTATTAATTAGACATTAATTAACTTATGTAGATCATAATCAACTCTCGATTAAATCTGGTGGCTCCAATATTAAGTAGATTTAAATACGTTTAGTGGTTGCCGTAAAAAAAGATAATCGAGGTTTTGTTTATTAGCATAACAACGGTAGCAATGACAATCGAGGCTAGACTGTATAAATTGTATCGCCCATAGCAACTCCGAGTGAAGTAATTTGACTGAAATTTCAACATATTCCATTTCCATTAGCTAATTATAACTACTATAGCGAGAACTGGCAGCTCTTTATCTAATCTGACCCAGTGCCCCTTTAAACAGCATACTATTAAAAACAGATATATAAGAAAAAACAAAAGACAACCACTACTGGATACCAAAATCAAAGTCAAATCATAAGATTACAAATAGTTCCAAAATGGCGGCGTACAGTAAATTTACGAGAAATATCCTAGGTATTTTGATTAAGTTCAAACAACGCCTTTAGGACCATATATCAATAAGAAGAGTTTCTTCGAATTTAGTCGGCCATTACATGTCGTGGATTTTCCCTGGGTCCGTCGGTTTCCTCCCACTGGAAAAGACCCCTACGCTCAAGCGAATTATTGAAATAAAATTGAACCATATGTTAGTTCCGAAATGACCTAGTTTATATCGAGTGGACGTTAAACCCCATCTATCTATCTCCCTCTCTTTCTCTGGTGTCGCTAGTTTGAATGTAATAGTATCCAGGTATTCTCAAATATGGTTGGTCCAATGTATCTCATGTTTAGCTAAACAGTCAATCTGATTATGAAAAGATCCTATTCCGTTTCGTTTTTCATACTTCAAAATTTCGTTTTACTTGTCTTCACAACACTAGAATCTGGAGGAATTGTTATTTAACCTGCGTTCTAGTTGATGTGAGGGATTAGACAATGAAGCTAGTTCTTGACGTGCGATGCACGGAACTGTGGGTATCTTAACGCTGATCGATTAATCATAGGGTCAAAAGCCTCTCATATGACACCTGGCGCGATCCCCCCCACTACAACTGGTCAAATCTTTATGTAATGTAGGCCATCGAAAGTATTAAGAACCGAAACGAAATATAGATCTGTATTTTAATCGGATTGGTAAACAGTAAAAGATAAATTGTTAAGCTAATCCGCTGTTTACACGAGTTTGTTTATTTCAAGCAGGCCCGTAGACTGCCCCCCTGAAAAAATCCCCCCCCCCCCCGAAAAAAAAGTTGCCGACCATAGCTCTAAAACACCTACTGTCGACTGTGCCCCCCCCCCCCCCAAAAAAAAAAAACAAAACAAAAAACAACCTTCACTGCCCCTCCGAAGCCAGCAAGCTGGTTACGGGTCTGATTTCAACCAATAACGCACACAGCTTTACCACCATTAAAATTAACGTGTACTGACTTTATCTTTTTAAAAAGTTATTTCCTTTTAGTGAAATATATAAATTATACTGTTAAGAATGTTCCATCGATTTTAAAACAGATTCTAACAGCAAAAATAAAACGATATTTATTTAATTTTTAAAAAGCTGTTTACGTGTCATAATCTATAATTGATGAAATTAAAAAATTACATGGCCTACCTGGATAAAAGAGTAACAACTCTGAGTCTTTGAGGTAATTTCTGGATTTTTTCCAACAACGTTTTAAATATACAACCAGTTACAATAACCCCCTTTGTTCTTACCCACACCAGTTGTGATAAATCGGTACACGTGAGAACTGGCGCCTGGGAATGATTTTAATTGGCTCGGATCATGGGAAAAGCATATGCCTTTTGTAATATGATCTCTGGCGATCAAATTAAAACAGTTAAAGGTCAAATGAATAATCAATATATTGGGGGAGGATCGGCATTTATCAGAAGACTGGTACGGGACGGAGGGCCTGACAAATGATAACTCCTAGTCGTTCGGATTGTACAAAAAGCCGAGATCTCGTGTACACTTTGGCTTGGCGGCTGGCACG